GTCCCACCCTTGCTGTTGTCAGTTCCATCCCCTTCTATGGGCGACAGGCAATGACTCCAAAGTAGAGGCTTTCATGATCTTTGGAGGCTCTCCGTCTTGCAAAATGAGAGTTCTAATCCATTTGGGAGAAGGCTCCACACAAAAAGGAAGCTCTCCCACTTAGATGTCACCTTCCTTGAGAAGAGGGCAACAGAACCAGAACTAGAAGATATTCTAATTCGTTCCTTTTTGTTCAGGAAATGGGTGCAGATTGTTATAAATGTTGTGTTTTGTTTGAAGAATTTAGCAGATGTCCAGCAGAAAGAAGCACAATGAACGAAGTCAGTCCTTCTTTAGAGGTATTTTACTTGAGATGAGACAGAACCAGAACTAGAAGATATTCTCATTCGCTCCTTTTTGTTCAGGAAATGGATGCAGATTGTTATAAAGTGGTTCATCAAGTCAACCAAGAAGTCATAGACAAAGATGGGGAGTTTCTTCATATTTGTATGGTTTCCTGCAGTATCACTGCTGCCACATAAGAAATCATGTGCCTTGCTTTCTTCTTCCTCTTCTGTCTATTAGATATTTCCATTTTCTTCTGTTTTGTTTATGAAACCATACATTATACACTGCCTTCATCTGTTGGCACAGAGACTCTTCTCTATTTTAGCCAGCCGGTCATCTTCCATCTGATCAGCACTACCACCAGCAGGGTGTACCTGATAAAGAGTATATATCCATTCTGATATAGTTCTTGGGGCCATTGCATAGTGGGGCCTCTGGGATATTGATTGATTGGTTGGTTGGTTGGTTGGGTGGTTGGTTGGTTGGTTGGGTGGTTGGTTGGTTGGTTGATTCAATTTGTATCCCACCCCAATTAGTGTCACAGCATTGCTCTGGGTGGGTTACAACTTGTAAAATAGAAAGCAAACATAAAAATAGAAATATTAAAACCAATAGCAATAACCTTTAAAAAATACCACAGATGGCACTGACTAATCCCAGAACGGATGGAGGAAAAGAGGGGACAGGAGAAGAGGAGGGAGAAAAAAGGGGGGGAAAGGAAAAGAGGGGACGGGAGAAGAGGAGGGAGAAAAAAGGGGGGGGGATGTGGTCAGCTCAAGCACTGCCTAAGAGGTTAGTGTGGAAAGCCCTTCATATTGCATGCTATTTAACAAGTCTTGAAACTTTAGATTTTAAACAGAATCCGTTGCATTACACATTATTTCTTGGCAGGCAAGTTGATGTTCTGTTGCTCCAATTGCATAAGTACTTCATTATGTTGCACTTTAATTAGTGTATTGCACTGCTGTCATTAACAGACTAGAAAAATACAGTGAATTGCTCTCTGATAGCCAACTCTAATAGTGCATCTTGGAAATATTAAAAACTGCCCCTCCCCAATACCAAGGAATACTTCATGTGCAATTTTACATTAATAAGAGGACAGCATAAAACCCTAAAAAATCATCAAATGTCTGAAATGCTTTACAAAGCTCCTTAAAGTAACTTTTGAAAACAAACAGGAGTTATTAATGGCACCCAAGTACCTTTAGTGCTACTCATTTTAACCTAAATGTAATTTTTGTAGCAGCTAGTTCCATTATTCATTACCCAAAAAGTGACTAGTCACAGTGAACTATTTTACTTGTAACTAGTTACTTCTAAGCTCTCTTATATGGAAACTGAGTGAATTGTTTCTAATCATATTAGAAATGCATTGCTCTGTGGAATGCAACTCATTGGTAGAGCACATGGTTTGTATGCTAGAGGTTCCAAGGTTTAATCCTGATATCTCCAGACAACAGCCAAGCACTGTGTTTAAACATCCTTGATTGTCAGGGATTACTGTAAGTGGTATTCATATTCAGTAATGCAGAATCCTGAATATGTTCCAGTGCATAGACCAGTCTGATTGTTCCAGTGCATAGACCAGTCTGGAACTTGGTCTGCCATTCTGTGACTGATTGCTGTTAGTGTACACTATGGTTAGTTTCACCTATTGTACCATATCCACATTGCCTATATGCTTTGGCCAATATTCTATCCAGGGCATAAGAGGTCTTTTTCTTCACTTTGGCAGGTCCCTGGTATGCACTAGATTGGTTGCACACTCAGTCTCAAATAGTGCAAGACTAGGCATGCACAGAGCAGCCTATTGGAGCAGGAGAGATGCTTCCACAATTGTATTGCCACAGTCATATAACGCAATAGGATACTGGCCTCTCTCTGTTAATTGTATGACTCTTAAAAGTTGCAAGTGTATTTTGAAGTTTTAGTAAACCCATAATAACAATATTTAAATCCCAAAGTGGTGTCTATATTGCTGTTCAATATGTATATCTGGTGGCTCATTAATGTGCTGTATAGAGAAATCGGAGCCAAGAGCTCGCATATTCAGAAATCTGTGCTCAGGCAAGGACAAAACAGAAAATATTGATTAGAACAGGACTTGGAGGGAACCGGCAGCTTATATGCCTCCAATGTTTCTGATTTCTTATTTACTAGTGAATGTCTCTGATTTCTTATTTATATGTGCCTGCAGTGTTTTTGGTCCCTTATTTACTGTCACCTCTGCACAGGATAATATAGTACAAAACCTAAGATGGGTTTGTTTTACATTCTGCATCCAAAGCAAGATTTTAATTAAAAGAGCTGAAAGGAAAATTATCTCCCTTTTTAAGATCTTCCCTTTTACTGTATTTCCAAATACGTTCTGGCTGCCACTCCTCTTGCAAAAATAAATGCTTCATCTCCAACTGCAATTTCATAGGAAACACATCATACAATCATGGAGATGTGGAGGGCAGGGTAAAGGTATAGGGAGGGAACCATAATTATGTTTTGCAGTTTCTTAGGTGACAGTTGTATACACATTTTCCTAAGAATAAGTGCTATTGAATTCAGAAAGGCTTCCATCTAAATAAGTATGTACAGGGTGCCTGATCAAGTTTATTTATTTCTTATACTTTAGTCTTTAATAAGCAAGTCAGTCTTTAGCAACACTGTTCATAACGTCCACCATCCCAGCCATCTGTAGGTCACTTACTCCCTGACACAATTCCATGCATTATCCTGAGTTGACTCTTAAATAAATCTCACCCAGAACACCTACATCTTTAAGCACTTCTTTTTTGCATGTTTCTGCCTACTTTCTTTTTCCTCATTGTTCTCTGCAACTCAAGCCTAGTTGAGCAGAATATCCTTACCATTACAGTTGCTCCTGCTTTCCTCACATTCCTCCATGTTGAATTTGGATTGTTCGCCATTCATGGCAAAGAATATCTTTTTGCTTGTTAAGCTGTCAGGCAACTTTCCCCAGTCAGGTGTCTTTCAGATGATTTGGAACACAATTTCAATAGATACTGGATGTTGTAATCCAAAATGACTTCCCAAGCTCGGAATGGAATTTAGTCATAACTTTAACTGAGCGGGAGCAATTTTTTCTGCACAATCCTCTAAACCAGAGGTCTCCAAAGTATGGCCCACAGGCCACATCCAGCCCACCATGCCTTTTTATCTGGCCCGGGCAGGCAGGGTAGAGGTGAGTGCGGGGGTGGGGTGGGGGTGTGCAGGTGGGGTGGGTGAGCGAGAGTGCCTGAAAAATGTGGAAAATATGTGGCCCTCAGTAAAAAGTTTGGAGACTTCTGCTTTAAATACACACACACACACACACACACACACCCCAAGTGAATAAACACTACAGTTTCAGAACTGCTGTATCAGAACAGAAGATCGTTTCTAGCCTTTTGTTCTCAGAATACCTTTGGCATTTTAAGATCTGCAGCACAGTATTAATTCCAATCCTGTCCAGTTCCTTGTTACAGTGAAACAGAAAAAATAACAAAAGATAAACAAATCAAGTCACTATAAACATGCTGCCACCTTAGGCAAACAATATTGGGCAGAAGAGGCTTAAAAAGGCAGCTTCTGTGTGGGTTTTCTGGATGAAAAAAACCCAACATTCTTCATTAATCAATCACCATGTCTATTCAGCCGATGATGATGAGAAGAGAATGTGCCACTGCCTTCCAGCTTAGGCTGCTTGCCTATGCCCATCAGTAAAAGAGAGGATGTAGAGAGCAGGGTGGGCCTTCTGTTCTCTTTTAATTTATATCTCTTTAAACATATTCTTTGAAAAATCTTGCAGAAATGTTTAAGAAGTTAGTTTGTTTTCCGGGTTGTTGTTTTTTCAAGTAGTAGTTCAGTGTTTTTGTTATTCACGTCAGAGCACTGTACAATTTAGAATTATGGACATATATGAAATGAAAAAACAAATTAAAACATCAAGATAATTAGACTACTTTTAACCAGAAGCAGTCAAAGTTTCGTGTTGATCTGAAAGCTTTCTGTCCAAAAGTTTTTGCCACCTGAGTAACAACTGGAAGATTCAAACAAATACTTCTACTTGTTAAGTAGTTTTAAAAAGCATGGGAAGTAATGGGAAAATGCACTGAATAAATTGAGATAATCCTTATGTTGTGTGGATAACAGGAATTTTTTTTCCTAAAAGCAATGTAGAACCTTCCAGTGTTGCCATGTAGATAAGCTCATGTAGGTTTTCTGAACATATATCTGAGGGAGTGATTACACAGACATTTTGCTTTCTGTTTCATCTACTGCAGGGACAGATTGGTTTGCTCCTGAAGGTAGAAATCAGAGGACATTTTTGCTGGAATGAACCACTCCATGCCCAGATCATTCCTACCCCACTTTTTTTGGCTCCTGTCAGGCGTTCCTACTTTTTGGTGCAAGCAATATCTCCATTTTGGTTCATTTCCAGTACATGCAATAGCTGGAAATAAACCAAAGCAAGCCAGCAATTTGAAGCTTTCTGCTTCAATTTGTCAGTTGGTTTCAATTTCCATTATCATTGGTGATTTATTGGGAATTTATTTTAAAGGCCAAATAGCGCAGTGCTGATGTTTTGTACCTTTTATAGAGGGGGGAAGAATTCACTCTATATTCTATATTCACTCTGGTTTTGTAACCCTTTATGTGATGCTTATCCTTTTCAGATAGTATTCCGAAAAATAAGTGATGTCAAGCGAGAAGAAGAAGAGAGGATGAAAAGGAAGAACGAGGCGCCATTAGTCCTGCCTCCTGATCATCCAGTCCGTCGGCTTTTTCAAAGATTCAGACAGCAGAAGGAAGCACGACTCGCTGCAGAGAGAGGCAGAGAAGAACTTGATGTTGAAAAAGGCAACATTTTGGGAGATCATCTTTCACGCACTGTTGTTAAAGCCAGTGTTGTAACTGTCAGGGAAAGCCCTGCCACACCTATTGCCTATCAGTCAGCCTCAACATCTGGTGTATCGGACCAGGCCAAGCTACAAGCTCCTGCTTCAGACTATGTGGCAGGGAAAGTGGCAGGTGACTACCCAAAGCGGAAAGGCTGGGCAAAATTCAAAGATGCCTGTGCAAAGGGAGATGACTGGAACAAAGTTTCCAAAGCAGAGTCCATGGAAACATTGCCAGAGAGAACCAAAACAGCTGGCGAAGCCACTCTGAAGAAGACAGACTCTTGTGACAGTGGCATCACCAAAAGTGACCTGCGCTTGGACAATGTAGGGGAGACAAGAAGTCCTCAGGACCGCAGTCCTGTCCTGGCAGAAGTCAAGCACTCTTTCTACCCAATCCCTGAACAGACACTTCAAGCAACAATGTTGGAAGTGAAACATGAGCTGAAAGAGGATATCAAAGCTTTAAACACAAAAATGACCAATATAGAAAAACAGCTTGCTGAGATACTAAGGATATTAGCCTCTAGAAGAAGTTCTCAGACGCCACAGGAGTTGTGTGAAATATCGAGACCACAGTCTCCAGAATCAGAGAAAGACATTTTTGGAGCTAGCTGAGGTGGTTCTTTAAAAGAGAAAGGAATCTTGAATATCTCCACAAATACCCACTTAACACTTTTTTTTAAAAAAAGAGCAAAACATTTACTCTCTTTTTCTTGAACACCGTTTGAGGGGCCTACCTGTTAACCACGTCCCTTTTATCTAAATGGTACAATAACAAGAGTTGCAACCTCATGTCAAGATGGCAGCTGACTCTGAAGTCTTTTTGACAGCAAGGGTACAGTTTATAATGTTTCCCTCCCTACTTCTTAGTTAGTGCATCCTTTTCAACTTAAAAAGATGGGAAAATACAAACATTTACAGAAAATAAAAGTCCAGACATTAGGCCCAGTTCATACACTTACCTGTTTGTGGAACCTCTTCTGACTGCCCTGCACTTAGAGGAGTATCCGACACATGGGTTCCCCATATGACTGTATAAGCAAAGGGAAGAGGCATAATGGTATAATGGTCATTCCCCTTTTGCAAGGGCAGTGCATCTGCTGTGGGTTTCAGTCTAAACTTTAAAGGAGTTATCCATGTTACTGAACCTTTTTGGTGGTAGTTTTCAGCACCTTGGATAGCTCTTGTAAAGCTCACACTAAAATACTGTACTGCTTCCACACAAAAAAGGAGTCACCAGCATCCACTTGGTGGGAAAGTTGGACTACAGCCAGTGAGATTCAAGTTCAGATTACTTCTCAGCTAGAAACCTCATTGGGCAACTGTAGACCAGTCATTATCATTCACATCATGGAGGTTAACGCAGCAAGATTTTTCACTCCTACTTTTGACAGCAACCTCTTTCATGTATGAAGAACTTGTATTTCACATTTAAAACCTTGCAGTTTGAGCAAAATGTAAGGTCTTTTTTTGGTACAGAATTAGCAAAAAAAATCTGTGGGTTTTTGTGCAAAAAAGCATGTAAAACCTTGTAGGTTTTCAGCAAAGAATGCAGAATATAGTTTTTGTGTTCAAAAAGGTACTTTCATAATTGGTCCACCAAAAAGGGCCAAAAAGTGAAAAGGTTACAAAAACTCTCATAATCTTGCTTAATGGGAAGAGAACATTTGAATGTTTTCGTTCACCTCTGTGTGAACAAAGTAAGTGAAGATTCACTTCACCACTATTGCACTGGTGTCCTGCTTGTGCTCTTTTCATAGGCGTCTGCTTGGCCACAGTCAGTACATAATGTTTGACCAAGTAGCCTGTGGGCTCCTCCAGCAAGGATCTTATCATGGATCGCTGATTCAGTTTGCATGATAATTTCTCCTCATTTAAGGGAGAAGAGTCATGTGAACCTGGCTTTCACATGAATGATCTTATATGTACATGTTTCATATTAGCCTGTATTATGTAGTATATGGGAGGTCCGAGGATGCTGCAATTAAAATGGTCCAGAGCTCAGGGAAGTGTATGAACTGGTTTTTTGTTTGGCAAGTTTCGGATCTCAAACATGCCTTTACATCATCAGATGAATTGGTGAGCAACTGATTAAATCCTCATTAGACATAATTAAATAATTAAATTGGTTGTTGCAGGTTTTTCGGGCTGTTTGGCCATGTTCTGGAGGTTTTTCTTCCTAACGTTAATCGGTCTCTGTGGCTGGCACACAGAGACTGGTGAAACTTTAGGAAGAAAAACCCCCAGAACATGGCCGAACAGCCCGAAAAACCTACAACAACCATCGGATCCTGGCCGTGAAAGTCTTTGAGATTGCAAAATAATTATGTTGTTTAGCTGTTTCCTCCTCCATCTTTTGTATCTCAATAATCTTTATAGATGGGTTGAAATATCTCACTTCCTGGTGATAATGGGGTGATCAATAAAAGGGGAACAAATTAGTATGACATTTCATATAAAAATGAGTAGTATTTCATTTCACACATAATTTTTAAGAGCTATTATCCACTACCACTTGGTGAGCAGGGATTTAGAATTTGTTGTTAATATGTGACTGCAAATAAATATACAACTTAGTAGGCAAAATGTCCTATTTATTTAAAAAATGTTGGAGCTTTCAAAACAAGGACCTTCTGCACATCTCATGTTTGTGAGAAGGAAGGCGTCCTGCCCACCCAAGTAGAAATTTATAATATTCTGTGCTTTTGACATTTTAAAGCTATTTACTTTGCCATTGAGTTTCCTTTAAATGATCTGAACACCAAAGGATGTTGAAATATGTGTACATTAAAGCCAATGGTGCATTACAGCACTCAAACCATTTCAATGTATTTTCTCATTGTAATGGTCCCCAGTACCTCATGAGGATATTTTGTGAAATTTAGTCCTTCTCCTGCATTCAACATGCTGACATTATGTTTTTTCAAATATGTTTGTCTCGTGAAGAACTTACGGAGGTCACCACTGGAAGTAAATGGAAATGAAACACTGGTATTATTGAAAACCATATGGCACCAAGAAATATTGTGCAAAAGCTACTTGACAAAGAAAAAATGTGTTACTAGTACTAATGATATCACAAGAAGCCCTTTAACTAACCAGGAATTTAGTGCTATTTTTACAGGCAGTATGTGTAAAAATAAGAATATGTTATTGGGTTGGTTGCACATAGGATGAGTAGCTGAGGGGTAGTACCCATGCTATATCACAGAATGATTGTGCATCACATGAATGAACCCAGTTTTATTGTTGCTGTGAGCAGCACTGGTGCTTGGTTGAAGTGTGCCACAATGTTGGAATGCTCTAATGAGGGGTAATCCATCCTAGAACAGTTGCAAGAATGAGGAGACATTTAACAATCAGGCTGTAATCACTCTGAATAAGAGATACGTCATGACCATTATTGGATAGCAGTGGCAGCGAGATGTGCAGACCAATGAATCCTTAGTTTTCTTTACAATAGCCTAATAATCCATCTGCTATAAAACATTTTCAATTTATATAGTAGGTTTTTGGGATCAGGTGTATAAGGCTTTGTGTGTGATTTTCATTCTGGGTTCCCCTTCACCATAGTTTGTATGCCCAAATGTTAATTCAGACAACTTTGAATATTCTCAAGCTAAACTAGAGGTCTGTCCCCTGAATTTCCTGTCTGGCGTAAAATAGTATACTTGTTTAAAGGTAATCCCAGTTGAGTGGCCCAGTATATGAGCCAGTGGAGGCCCCAAATATATGTATGTACAAATGGTTAACTTCATCATGGATTGAAGTGTTTTAATATATGCCAACTCATACCAGGTCTGACAGACATTATGCTGGCTTGTATCAAGCTATAGTTTGAAAAGAAGGAACAGGAGTTAGACATGTGTGCCCATTACAGCAAAGCCATTCCTACCATACTCTGTTTACTTAGATCTGCCCCATCACTCACTGTGGCTCTTGGCCAAACCTTTAGCCACTGCTTATGCTAACCAGATTCCATACTCTTATTGAGAGTTTACAAAGCCACTTCCTGTTGTTCATCCCTCTATAAGATGAGAAGCCTAGTCAAGTGCTTAGCTTTGTTGCATTGGCACCATGTGATATAAGGGGACGCCCTACCTTGCAGTGGCAGGATGTCCCCACCCCAGCTTAGAACATGTGCCGCTGGTACATAGTTAGCACTACCATAAGGGAAACCCTGAAGCAAAGGTGAGACTAGCAAGGAAATAAGAATTTTGCAGTAGAAGGTGAAGGTGGTAGAATGAGTCATTAAAGGAAATCACAGCCTTTCGTTTGCAAGATCTGTGCAGGACTGTTATTGAGAAGACCTTTTGGAGGCCATGGATGCATGATGTCACCATGAGTCAGAAGCAACTTCATGGCACATAACCAAAAAAATGAAGTGGAAAAAGCACGAATTCCCAAGGTTGGGTCCAGATTTGCAACAATGGTTTGTAGGGAGCCAAACTTGTTATAAACATCTAAACTTGTTATATCATGTGAAAAATAATCATCATCTTTGAACTGCAGAGCTGGAAGGGACCCTATGGATCATCAAGTCCAGCCCTGGTCATGGAGGCACAGGGGGGAATCAAATTCCCAACCTCTGGCTCCAGACCTAAAACACTGAGCTCTCTAGCAGTTCTAAATGACAACACCAAGAACACAAAGATAATGTTGCAAAACAGCTAGATTTATATATACTCTTTACCCTTTGGCAGTAACGACTTTTGTTCCAAGATCTGAAGAAGTCTATCTTAACCAACACCCCCCCCATGTACACAGTGTCCGCCCCATTCCAATAAAACACTCCCCCCAAATGGCCCATCAAACCACAGCAATTTGACAAATGAGATGCAATGTGAGAAGCTGCTTTTGAAGAACAACAGCAAAAAGAAGCCCTACTGGGTTGAAAAGCATCCTGGGCACCTAAAGGAGCTCTTTGAAAACCAGGCTGTGGTCTTTGCAGAAGGTTTTGATTGCTGCAAAACTGCAGGGATGCAGGGAGAGCTTTTGCTGTCATCTTCAAAATTATTAGAGACAAAAATAGAAAACGATTCCCATAATATATAGCACATAAAGCCCAGCAGTTAGTAACTCAGCAGCAGTCATAGGAAGCAGCTTTGGAAGATGTTGGTTCCTTAAGATTAACTCCTTCTGTACAAGAGCAATCATGGATCCTTGCACCGAAACCGGTGTGATTTAACTCAATTTATTTTGCATGATGTTCATAACTCATCCTGGTCTGTAGTTTTTAGAGCTGAGATGTTTGGTTATTTAATCAGGTTGCTTGAGTTAAAAAAAACCACACACAACCCCCCCACACACACACACTCATTTTAAATTGTGCCCCCAGTAAATTGGAAAGCAGTTGGGGGGAGGAGGTGGGTTTGTTTTTGTTTAAATAGCCAGGGGTCAGAACTGTATTCCTAGAAAAGTTCTCCCCACAGATCAGAGATTTTCCTGCTAACTTTTTTTCATTCTCTTGTGTTTTCCTGGAAAGCCCCACATGAATGTCAGAAATGATGTGGGAATATACTACAAGATGCTGTAGCTAGAAGAAAGAATCACATTTTCCTAATTTATGCCAAAGGACCTTCTGCTTGTGCAAGAAGAACTTTGGATCTGAAATGGTACAGCAAATGTTCCAAACCCCCACCCCCACCCCAAAAAAAACAGGGATGGCAGACCTATCGTCTGTAAAGGCATTGCCAGTTCCTTTCCTGGAATGCGTGCCTCTTCTATGATGGCCTTAACATAATACTTACAGGTATCATCTGGAAATAAAGAAAATAGCTCCCCTCCCCATTTCAAAATGATTATGTCTATGAAAAATTATGCATATTTAATGTATAATTCCATTAACCAGTGAAAAGACATATGTGGCCATTTCAGATTTCTTTATTTGGATAAACTTGTAAGTTGTTCCAATATTACGTACCAAAAGAGTAAGTTGAAAAC